CCCAGCTGTGGACCCTCCAGCAGCACCAGCTCAGGCCCCAGCTGTGCCTATTGTGATTCCGGGTCTTCAGGAGGCTTTGGCTCAGATCTTATCAGTTTGCACTGGCCTAGCTCAGGCGGTTTCAGCCACTACAGTTGCAGCTACTTCACGGGAGAGGCAGTCAGACTCCCGCCGCCGGCACACCTGAGCAGGTCGTGCAGGGACTTCAGACGCCGGGGGCACATCCAGCCCAACCGGTCGCAGCTGCTCAGGACTATGTAGTTCCTGTCATGCCAGAGGATGAACAACGTAGGTTGGAGAGATTTGCGAGACTTCAGCCTCCGACTTTCAGCGGAGCAGAGGGCGAGGATGCCCAGGGCTTTTAGACAAGTGTTAGAGGATGCTTCGCACAGCCGGTATTCTGGAGACCAGCGGGGTCGCTTGCACTACCTATCAGTTTTCAGGGCTTGCTTTTACTTGGTGGGAGGATTTTGAGAGGCGTAGGCCTGTTGGTGCAGCACCCCTATCTTGGCAGCAGTTCTCCGTTCTCTTTCTGGAGAAGTATGTACCGCAGTCTCGCAGAGAGGAGCTGCGTAGACAGTTTGAGTGGTTGCGTCAGGGAGACATGACTGTGTCACAGTATGAGTTGAGATTCTCTGAGTTGGCTCGTCATGCCATCTGGTTGGTCCCGATAGATCGAGAGAGGATCAGGAGGTTTGTCGATGGTCTTACTTATCAGCTCCGTATCCTTATGACCAGGGAGAGGCTGACTGGTGCTACATTCGAGGAGGTTGTGGATATTGCCAGGGAGATTGAGTCTGTCCGACGCCAGGAGCTAGGAGAGGGAGGCCAAGAGGCCTCGAGGATCTGGCAGCTACAGTGGTGGTCCTTCGAGGGGCCAGTTTTAGTACGGCAGAGGCCGACAGTTCCGTCAGGGTCAGTCTGATCTCTCAGGTTATCGAGGAGCGTCATCGGGTCATGGTTCCCACAGTTCACACCAGGNGACATAGATGTTATGGGTAGAATTCTTTTTTTTTCGAATTTTGTTCACATCTTAGATCTATAAATTGACTCATCTCCATAAAGGAGCCGAATGAAACCAAAGTTTCATGTTCGGTTTTGAATTAGAGACGTTAAAAATAATGAATCGACGTCGACTATAACCCCTAGCCTTCCAAGCTAACGATGCGGGTTCGATTCCCGCTACCCGCTCTATATCTATATGGAATTATCATAATTCTGTTATGTCTTTTAGATGCTCATGACTAGTGACACCCCGGTTTGGGCTGTGTATGGGTGATTCTTCCGCGTATTTATGTTATTACCAGCTATTTCAGATTGTTTTATCATGTTTAAATTGTTCTTAAATGCTTATCTATTAAAAATTGGAAAATGGGAAGTGTCAACTGGCCTGGTCTTCACGAGAGGCGCCATCACGACCGGGTTCGGGGTTAGGGTCGTGACAGTCATTTCTCCTCGATCATATATTTGTGAGATTATAAATAGAATTATGATATTTCCTAATTTTCTATGATGTTTGGTTTATCCGAGATTCAATAGGTGGTTATATATATTAAGGAATTTATTAAATTACTATCGTATATTGTTTTAAAATTGCTGTAAAAACTCATAATCCCGCATCATCCTCTGAATTTGCAAGAATTTAGAAATCAAACCGACCACCTTTGCATTGCCTTCATCATCAAAGTGGTGGGTTTGATAAAAAGCCACCAAACATTAAGCAGAAAAAAAGAATTTTTGGAAAGAAAAAAAAAAGAATTAAAATAGTCAGAGTGAAGTCATAATTTCAGTGGTGGCAATTGAGATCCACAATCAGCAGAAAGTGAATGAGGTGGCACCCAGAAATTTATTCTTGAAAGAGCTCATTGTAAGTGGTGGACTATCCTTTTTTTTTTTGGCTAAAAAAAAAATTAAAAAATAGGAAATTCATTCTAATGTGGACTATCCTTCTACATTAGGAAATTCATTCTAATTATTTTTATTGTTTTTCTTTTGTGCGCTTGGTACTTGACTTATTTTCTTTCTTTTGAAAAATATATATTTTCAGTCGCTCTAAAAAATAATAGTCGATAAAATATGTATTTTTTGCATATACTCCCTCCGTTCACTTTTACTTGTCCATTATGAACTTTGCACACCTCTTAAAAAATAATAAATGAAATGCATAATTTATCATTATACCCATATTAATTGATGCATATTTATAATGAATTTGAGAAAGTGATTTGAATTGAGTAATTAATACTGTGGGTATAATAGGGAAAAAAAAATTGTCTTTTCTTGATATGCTAAAAATGACAAGTAAAAGTGAAATTTTTTAAAATACTGGACAAATAAAAGTGAACAGAGGATATATATATATATATATACACTTTTTAGCTAGTACATAAAAATAAAATTATTTTGGGCCGACTGGATATTTTTGTATTTTGTCCTTTTTTTTATATGCTTCCCCCCTAGTGTCCAATGTTCTTATTGGATCCCACTATTCAAATTTTTCCCAAAAAGTCCCACATTTAAGGTTAAAATACTTACTAACAAAGCTAACTTCATGATCAAAGCTTTAACCCGAGATTTCTGATTAATAATAAATAATTTCCTTACTGGCTGAATGCCAACTATTGAACCCTTCGGGGCTTTATTTGATATTTCCTTACTGTTTTGACTTGATATTTGAACTCAGTCAGGTTAATTTCTACTGTTTTACTACTCGGCCATTTTTACTCGATTTTGAGACTTAAATGATATTTTGGGCTGAGAAACACTGTTTTACTATTGCCCAAGGGGCTTGTGAGTATTTTTGACTGAGTAAGGCCGAAGGCCTAAGTTGTGAGGAGACACTGGTACTGATTTGAGGCCGAGGGCCTGAGATATGTACGCCACGAGGTGGCTTGATTGATATGAGGCCGAGGGCCTAGTTGTGATGCCACGAGATGGCTTGTTATTGCGCTTGGGACGTAAGGGCCCCCTCTAGGAGTCTGCACACCCCCAGTGAGCGGGGGTACCCAGTGTGATGTGAAATTGAGCCCGAGGGGCTGTTATTGTTCTGAGATGTTGCCCGAGGGGCGGATGTGGTGATACTGTGCCCGATGGGCGAGCTTCTATCTATTTACTGTACCTTAATTGTCTATCAAATACCTCTTTACTTGTTGAAAGAGGATTTTACTTGTATTTTCACTGGTTTACTGCTTTTAAATGATTTTACTGCTTTATCATAGAATGCCTTGTGCCTTGCGTGATTTCTTACTTTCAGTCATTATTTACATTTGTTACTCACTGAGTTGGAGTAATCATTTTACTCCCTGCACCCTGTGTGCAGATTCAGGCGCATCAGGTCCCGCTCCCGAGTGCTGATTCCTCCAGATTCAGGTGAGCTTTCGGAGATTACGAGGTAGTTGTTGACGTCCGCAGCCCCGTGTCTCTACTCCTTTATTGTCTCTATTTCCTTTCAGACATTGTACTAGTTATGGAATTATCAGAATTCTGTTATGTCTTTTAGATGCTCATGACTAGTGACACCCCGGTTTGGGCTGTGTATGGGTGATTCTTCCGCGTATTTATGTTATTACCAGCTATTTCGGATTATTTTATCATGTTTAAACTGTTCTTAAATGCTTATCTGTTAAAAATTGGAAAATGGGAAGTGTCGGTTGGCCTTGTCTTCACGAGAGGCGCCATCACGACTAGGTTCGGGGTTAGGGTCGTGACAAGTTGGTATCAGAGCCTAGGTTACATAGGTCTCATGAGTCATGAGCAGGTTTAGTAGAGTCTCGCGGGTCGGTACGGAGACATTTGTATTTATCCTCGAGAGGCTGCAGAACCTTTAGGAAAACTTTACAATCTTGAAATTCTTATCGTGCGAGTTTGTTGATCCGAGTACTAAACTTCTGTTGTTCGATTATCTCAATGATGGTGAGGACACGTGCTACCGGACGGGGTGGACGACCACTAGTGCCACCACCTGCGGCCACCAGAGGCCGAGGTCGACTATCCTTCTACATTAGGAAATTCATTCTAATTATTTTTATTGTTTTTCTTTTGTGCGCTTGGTACTTGACTTATTTTCTTTCTTTCGAAAAATATATATTTTCAGTCGCTCTAAAAAATAATAGTCGATAAAATATGTATTTTTTGCATATACTCCCTCCGTTCACTTTTACTTGTCCATTATGAACTTTGCACACCTCTTAAAAAATAATAAATGAAGTGCATAATTTATCATTATACCCATATTAATTGATGCATATTTATAATGAATTTGAGAAAGTGATTTGAATTGAGTAATTAATACTGTGGGTATAATAGGAAAAAAAAATTGTCTTTTCTTGATATGCTAAAAATGACAAGTAAAAGTGAAATTTTTTAAAATACTGGACAAGTAAAAGTGAACAGAGGATATATATATATATATATATATACACTTTTTAGCTAGTACATAAAAATAAAATTATTTTGGGCCGACTGGATATTTTTGTATTTTGTCCTTTTTTTATATGCTTCCCCCCTAGTGTCCAATGTTCTTATTGGATCCCAATATTCAAATTTTTCCCAAAAAGTCCCACATTTCTAACTTCATGATCAAAGCTTTAACCCGAGATTTCTGGTTAATAATAAATAATTTCTTACCGCTCCTCCACAACTCTTGTTAACTTGATCAGCGCTACATAAAATTTAACATAAAATATTTCGTTGAAAAGGATCGACTTTAGCTTAAAAACTATGTTTCCCTAGTTAATACAAGAGTAGACTGATTTTTATGTGGCTCAAATTCATTCCGATCATCAACATTTATCACACTACAAGAAATATGTGATACGACGACATTTAATTAGTGACACTTATAATAAATGTCGGAAAAAATTTAATTTAGCGATATTTGTTAGAAAATGTGATAAGAATACTGATATTTGTTAAAACATGTCAAAAATATTTTAACATTTGATTTAAATGTCATATTATTAGGAATATAACAACATTTAATTAGTAACATTCATAACAAATGTCAAAAATAAACAAGAAAAAATAACTCTAAACATGGGCCTTTAAGCTTCTCTTCTTTTTACGTTAAAAATCCCAATAACATTCAATCCTATTCCTCCACATCTCTTCAAGCCGCAGCCGTCAAGAACTATGAAACTTCATTAGTTCATGTCCATATCATTCACTCATTCTGATCCTAATCCGCCAGTAAGATTTTCGTTCAATATAAGTACTATAAATCTCAATCTTCTGTATTTTATTTCTTGACTGCTTGATAGCCCTATATTTGTCGTCTATAGTGTTGAGATTTTTTATATTGAACCTTTTGATTCGTTTCAGACATAGAATTAAAATTCAGCAAATACCGCTGTTAGAATCTCGATTTGCGATTAGATCCATCCACTCTAGCTCGTGTTCTGTGCGTTTGGACTTTTTTTTTTTCGAGTGAAATGAGATTTGTGATATTTTGATTTATGAAATTCTTGAACTTTTTTCTTTCTTGTTGTTTATTTTTGTTTCCTTTTTGAAGGTGAATTTCCTGCAAAAGAGTCTAGTAACGTTGATATTACTCCATATGAGGTTAAAATGTTATTTTGCTACTTACCTTTTCCCTTAATCAGTTTGGTGATAATTATTTTCTTCTAATTTCAGATCTTGGATACATCATATTTTGAAGGTTGTGAGATCAATTAATGTGAAGGCATCCTGATGGGGAAAGTATGGAACATTTCATCAAGAAAAATACATGGATGCTGAAGCTTTGAATTATGTTGGTGTATATGGAAGTTATAAGAGAAAAGTTATGGTTATGTAGTCATATGTTGAAGTAATTCATTATTTTGTTTGAATTGTATATGGTGTACGACTTTTAAACTTTTGAAATGAATAAAAATGTTTGTAGTATTATAAGATGCAATAGCTGATTCATTGTTTTCTACTTTCTTACCACATATTCTACATAATACTTGAAGGACCAAAAAAGGAATATTTTTGTTGTTAATCATAATATAAATAATAATTTTGATATTCAAATAATATGCCACAAACATTTGTATGTATGTCACAAACAAGATAGTTTAAGAGCTCAAATTGTTGACATTTGATAAACGTCAAATAAATGTCACTAGATTTTTACCGACACTAATTTAAATATCGTAAAAGTAACGACATTGAAATTTAGACATTTGATTTAAATGTAAAATAAAAGTCGGTAAATGAATTTACGATATTTCATTGACTTATGGCGACATTTATATAATGTCGCCGTATCCCATGTTTCTTGTAGTGTCAATAACACATAATCTCAACCTTAAAAAAATTCAGGGAGAAGTGTAATTTAACAAATTAAATTTAGTCAAAAAATTGAATAAAAGAGAAGCCCGGTGCATTAAGATCTCATTATGCGTGGGGCCCGGGAAAGGACAGCCCGATGCACTAAGTCAAAAAAAAATTAAATATTGTCCATTATTCTAAAATATAATAGGAGTGGAACCACTTTATATCTAACGTCAGGATTCAACATTTTCACCAATAATTTTGCCCACTAGTATTATAATCTTTCCTCTTCCTCATACATTCATAGTTGAATATTTTGTTTGGAAATTAAAGTCTCAGTTTCTTTCCTACCATTATAACTTATGTATTGGTTGCATTGGAATTTGAAAAATTAGAAAAGTTCAATATTTTCTTTTCCACTTCTCAACATCTAGAATACTATCCCTAGACTAAGTTAAGGCACGTTGCTCAAATTGTAGGCCACTACAAAAAGCTGTCATTTTTATGTTCAGTTTTGAATAGTTTGGTGTATATTTGTCAGTTGAGCCCCTACCTAACTTGATATATTTTGGTTCCATTTTGTCGGTTTTTCATCGAGTTTCGATTTTTTTTTGGCTATTAAGTCACAAGGTATCGTTGCATATGTGTTATATATATTTAAAGTGTAATATTTTATCTATATATATATATATATATATATATATTGTGTAATTTTTTGACGAAGAGTGGTCAATTGACTGCCTTTATGACCATGTGGCTTCGCCCCCTGCCAAGAAATACTGGAGAGAGGTGATTAGATAAGACATGGCGCAGGCGTTGCTTCAGCTTAACGAAGACATCGCCTTTATATGAGGGCGTGGAGATCGAGAATTAGGGTAGAAAGTTAGTAAGTAGTTGAGAGTTTCTCCTTTCCTTACAAGTAGTACTAGTACTATTCTTGTATTTTTCTATTCTTCGATCTCTAATACCGCCTCTTGTTTCAATCGCTTCAATTATTTTATTTTCTCGTTGTTGTTGTTTGTTGCTAATTTTTTAAAGTCTTTTCAAGAGCCGATGATCTATCGAAAACAATCTTTCTATCTTCATCGAATAGTCACCAAGTACGTGTATACACTATACTTGGGGCTGAAAACCTGGTGATATTTTTGGGACTAAAGACAATGTAATTGTGCTTTGTACAAAATGTCTTTAATTAGAGACCACAAGTGCTACCAATTACTTCAATACTTAAGTCGAGAGACTTATAAATTAATAATAAAGGACTTTGTTCATGGGCGAAAGTGGGATAAAAGACTCCCCTTTTCTGCAAAAGTTTATGGGACAAAGTCAAACATTAAAGCATAGTTTACTTGCTTTTGTCGACAAACAATCTATATATATATATATATAGATATAAAATTTCAATGTCTGATTAAATTGATCTACAACAAGTGTTTCTACATAATCAAGTCTAGTTGAATAACCTGAAAAATAAAATTTTCAGTTTTTTTCTGAATAGCATACGGTACATAATACTATGGGCAACAAGCAATAAATAGAAGTGTTAGTACAGTCAAATCTCTCTATAATAGCTTCATTTGTTCCAAATATTTTTGAATGTTATAACAAAGTGTCGTTATAGAAAACATATATTATAACATAACATGAAAATTAGTTCTGGAAAAAACTTGGCTTTTATAGTGAAGTGTTGTTATATAGGAATGTTATTATAGAGAGGTCTAACTGTAGTGCTAGGCCGTATGTATGAGATGCTACTACTAGCCACTAAATAGTTAAGAGTTGTGGTGATACAGATAAAATTTCTCCATCCTTAATAAAAAGTATCAGGTTCGAATTTTGGGGATTGAATACATATGGTAAGGAGTGCTTTCCTGTTAATACACCTTACGCGGCGAAAATCTAAATTATCGGCACCCCAAAGCAGAGACGGGCCTATTTTTCAACTAGTGGGGTCACCGAACCCGTTAATCTCGGCAAAAGATCTAGATATATTTGTGTATATATGTTCAGTGGTGGAGCCAGGATTTTCGTTAAGGGGAATCAACATATAAATAAGTAAGAATGCAAAGGAATAAAGGGGTGTCAAAGAATGCAAAGGAATCAAGGGGTGTCAACACCTAGTATATATACATAAAAATTAAATATATTTTACCTAGAATTCTTAAGATCAAAAGTCAAATGGGGCACTAGTTAAGCAGTCTGCTTATGTGTCTCTGCCACCTTCAAATTCTGGGTCCGCTTTTGTCCCAAAGCGGATACTGGACAGAGGCGGATGTAGTGAACAACTAATGGGTTCAACTGAACCCATACCTTTCGACCTGAAGTAAAAATTTATATGTGAGAATTCATTAAAATTGCAAAAATAGTGGATATGAACCCATAACTTTTAAATTATAATAAATTCAATGCTAAATATCTTAAAAGTTGAACTCATAGGATTTAAATTCTTAATCCGCTTATGATACAAGGCATTGGTTGGAAAAAAAATGCTACTAGCTACTATAGAATTAGGGGGTCCTATAAAATAAAGACCCATTTGGCATAGTAAACCATGGTTTTTAATGAAAAAAATAATTGTCCCTTAGATATAGTACCCTACAAAGTCAAAATCAAAATAATTTATGATCATACGTTGTTTAGATACAACTTGGTCATGAAATAAAAGCAGAAAACCTGTGTCCTCACTTATGAGAATTGACATTTTTGCATTCAATGTCTCTCACAAGCCTCTTGCTTTAAGCATTTGTGTTGTTCCTTTTATTTATTGCATCTAAGTTTTTGCCTCCATATTCCATTTCTGAGTTAATGGTTTTGATTTATTACCAAAGACTAGTAGATTGCGGCTACAAGTCTAGAACTATTCTGTCCCTTTTGAGTCACAATTTGAATAGTGCTTGACTAATAGTTACATTGTACTCAGCAGACTACTTGCTCTCGTTTGACCATAAATGTTGGCTATTTTTTTTAAAAAAATAATAATTAAAATTATTATTTTTTTCATGAAATATGATCAATTTTGAAAAAAATTCAAGCTTCCAAAAATTGGTGTGGGTCAGTTTTTGGGTGGAAATTTTTCTTCCATTCACAAAACCTCAACTCTTTTTTTTCCCAAATAAAATACTTGTCCAAACATAATTTTATCTTCCAAAATTATTTAACAACATAACTTCAAAAATTCGTTTTTCAAGTTTCAACTAAATTTATGTCCTAACATGAGCTTAAATTTTGAAAATATTGAAAGATATATATATTTAATAAAGGCTGTAGATTTATTCCCAATTATCATATTCAAATGTTATTTTGAAAATATACAAGCTTATTTTATTGAAGATTTAACTTAATTAGTCGTCCGCCTCAAAAGAATGATCGGTATCTATATATATATATATGTGTGTGTGTATGTATGAATGTATGTATAGATCTCGCCCGGTCTCGAAACACATAAAATTGAGGGGATGAAATTAAAAGTGAATTGTATTCCATATAATAATTTCCATCAAATGATGTATGACCAGCTGTCATGCACAATAAGAAAGCTTTTTAATTAACAATTAGAGGTCAAACTAGATATATAATTGGCATATTGCTTAGCACATAGTATTATCCAGAGAAAGAGATTAATTGGCTGAGGTATTTCTGAAAGTGACTTTAAGATAATCCTTTTAACTAAATAAATTAGTCAATTTTCTCAATGCTTCTAAATCATTACTAGCCACTGCTACTGCCAAACAAACATTTTCAATGATGTTTTTGTTGCCTTACCCTTAAGACAGTGGAAGTAACTATGCCTTCCTCTTATTATAGAATTGAAATTACATAACTGAAAAGGACACCATTTATCTTTCAGACCAATAATAATGTCTTAACTCTTAAGTCATTTTCAACATAAACTTCAAATTGACCTTAGATAAGGTGATAAAATGAAAAGAAAAAGATATAAGGACAAAAATAATGGTGGACATAGCTCTTTATTTATTTATTTTAACCTTTCCTATTTACCTTAAATAATTTGCTACTTGAATAATAGTAGTAGCTTAGACTTTACATCATTGAAAGTGCCAATACTTCAAATCTAGCTTTGGGCGGTGGTGGCAAAATGATTAAAAGAAAATAGTTATCCACCTATATTGTCTCTTAAAAATTGGGTTGGATAATGAACTTTTTAAGAACGGGTCAAATATGAATAAGAACCATATTATCTACTTAGAAAATGGATAACCAGTGGATAACTAATGGGTTTAAGGGTTGGGAGATTAGGAATTCTTCCAAAAGTAATCATAGTCAAGAAGTCGTGGATAATACGGATATCCATATTATCCGCCGGTTAACCCGCTTTTTATCCGTATTAAATATTATTAGATTTAAAATTTTAATAATGATCAATGATCAAAAGAGCCCTGACTAATGTCATCTCACTTTGTGTGCAGATTCGCAACAGCGCTGATGAATGAAAGGAAAGAAAATCATATAAGGAAATCAGAGGAAGCCAACGATTCTGTTCTTCAAACACTATATTGAATGGAAAGAGAATAAATCAATCAAAGAGAAAAGAAGGAAAGACAATCAATTAGATTTGCTAAAGAGTCTCAAGCATGCAAGAAAGGAAAGGGAGCCAATCAAGGATAGAGAGCTAATCTAGGT